GAAGCATGATTTAAATAGACTCAACTAAAATGTAGAGGAATCCATGGATTATAAAATCTTCAGGAAGTTAATTTAAGAATAATACCATTGATTGTGTACTATTCTGTTCAAGAAGTGTTTACATTTGTTATCACTAATGCTTACTAAAATCCTATAAGGCTTGCCCCATCTACAGATGGAAAACTGCTTACTTTAGAAGATTATCTTGCTAAAGACCACATATCTAGTAAAAGTGTGGAGATTTAAAGCCAGATCTGTTTGAGGTAGGTTCTTTTCCTGACACCACATGATCTTCGGAGGATGAAGTCGTAGAGAGCCACTTGCTATGGCCCAGAGAGGAATCAACAAGAAGTTTACATATTCACTTAATGAGTGCTTAGCATATGCCAGGCTCTGTGCCAAGCACCTAAGCTACAGCAATTGTGGACAGGCAAATCCTTCCTTCAAAAAATACTGTCTAGTCCTTTTGACACTGAAATCAAAGCTGCTTTTAGCCCACTGCCTATGAGAACATTTCTGACAAGCTTATCTATTTTGACTAAAAATGGTGCATAATCAGGCCATGTTTCTGAAAATGTTAATTAGAAAATCCATTTTCTGTTTTCATGAAGGACAAGTGTCTTTGGTGAGGAGAGGGAAGAATAAAAGTTAATATTTGGTAAAACAGTGGGCCACACTAATCATCACATTAATCGCAGGAAGAAAGTCAGCTTTGGGGTTTTAAGTGTTTAGAGGTCTCTTATGTAAAAAAAAAAAAACAGTTTATTTGAAGTTGCTATGGTTATGTTTCATTCATAAAGGTAAAACAATTGAGAAAGTGGCCTAGAGAAATAATAATAAAGTCATGAGCCAACATTCGCCAAGTGCTCACTGCATGCTAGCACCATGCCACATTTAATGTAATCCTCAAGACAACCCCAGCAGATAGCCTTATAATTCTCATTTTACAGAGCAGACTGAGGCACAGACAAGTACAGTTAATATGCCCAAGGCCCAACAGAAGAATGGGAACTCGAACCTAGGTATTTTATGATCTGGGTTGGTTAGATTCATTTAACAGTTGCTCATTTGTCCCTTTATTTTGCTCATATAACACAGTATCGCACTCATTTCTCTTAATTCAACAGATAGTTTTGCTTCAAGTCTTCTAAAGTGTCATAATTATTCATTGTTATCACAAAACATTTATTTAGCACCAACCACATGCCAGGCCTCAGACTAGCTGGTCAATATACACAGTGTTTGGCAAAAGCTAAGGTAATATTTATCTTCCAAGGTTATTATTTATGTAGGTCCCTATGACGTTATATCTTCTTATAATCTTTCTGCAGAAAATTACAAGCTGGCTGCAGAATAGCAATGAGTTATTCTTTTCTGTTCTTTTGTGTAAGACATAATTCTGGTTATAGAAAGGTCTGATTTCATAAATGTGTGTTTAGGTGAGGTAACATACAAACATGTGGATTCATTTAGGGTCTAGTTTTTACAGCTTTCTAAAGTCCATATGAGAACTCCACTGTTTCTTCCTTGAAAAAATATATACCTTTTTTTTTTGCAAGATGATCTAGGAGGTGAGGTAAGATTGAGGTCACAGGAAACAAGGGTCCATGAGTGTTCAGTGCAAGGCGTTATTGTGGTTACTGGCAGTCAGAGTGGTTAAGTGAGGACCGTTGCAGCACCCTTCCTCCGGCAGCAGCAGGAGCTGGGTGACGCTGAGCTGCCTGTTTCCAGGCCACTTATTGTGGCTTTGATGTGCTGTGTCTGCACGTTACTCCCAAGCTCTGATCTCCAGCGTTTCGTTGTCAGCCACGGCCAGGGTACCCCACTGCCCCACACTTCTATCACACGGCCAGCCCCAGGCAGACAGTTTAAAAAATAATACGCCTGTCTTGCTTCTGCGCAGATGGAATGTTTTACGTGAGAAATAATCCAGCTGAGTGTTTGCTCCACAGTTTGAATAAGAATGAACTGGCTTGTGGCTTAGTAGGGATTCGGGTCAGGAATGTGTTTTGCTGTCAGAAGGGGAAGTTAGTGGTGGAAATTTGTAAACTCCTGGTGTTGGGTTGACATAATAGATGGTCTAGTAGGAATAGGAGTTGGTTCTAGAGTTAGACACAGGTTCAGATCCTGATACTGCTCTTCACTAGCCACTTTTTGTGTGCCTCAGTTTTCCTTCCATGAAACTGAGGAAAAAGTTGATGCAAGAAGTGGAGAGAGAATGCAGGCACAGTGTTTATCATATTGCCTTACACAGGATGAGTGCTCAGTTAATACTATTATTTTTGTCATTTTGGTCTTTATTTTATGGGGAAGCAAACAAAAAGCAACCCACTGCTTTGAAATCTTCTGCAAAAGCATAGTTAACAGTGGCCTAGAAAATAATGAATATGCTGGGCGTGGTGGCTCACGCCTGTAATCCCAGCACTTTGGGAGGCCGAGGCGGGCGGATCACCTGAGGTCGGGAGTTTCTAGACCACCCTGACCAACGTGGAGAAACCCTGACTCTACTAAAAGAAAATTAGCCAGGTGTGGTGGTGCATGCCTGTCATCCCAGTTACTCGAGAGGCTGAGGCAGGAGAATTGCTTGAACTTGGGAGGCGGAGGTTGTGGTGAGCCGAGATTGCACCACTGCACTCTGGCGTGGGCAAGAGGAGCAAAACTCCGTCTCAAAACAGAAACAAAAAAAAAAAAGAAAGAAAGAAAGAATAACGTTAACTCATTCATATCAGTACCCTTTCCGCTAATATTGTTACTAGTGGAGCCAGCATGATTATGCTTTGATTTGCTAGCATGATTAACCATGTAAGAGTGTAAAAGTCAACTAACTGATGACTTTATCATGGAAGCCTCCCTTTTTATTCTAAATTTTCTGTCTTCTTTTTTCCTTTTTTTGAAACAATATCTCATTCTGTCACCCAGGCTGGAGTGCAGTGGCGATCATAGCTCACTGCAGCTTCAACCTCCTAGGCTCAAGCATCCTCCCATCTGCCAGCCTCCTGAGTACCTGGTACTCAAGCATGCACCACCATGCCTAATTTTTAAAAAATTTCTTGTAGACACAGGGTCTCACTATGTTTCCCAGGCTGGCCTCAAATCCCAGGGCTCAAGCAATCCTCCTGCCTGAACCTCTCAAAGGGCTGGGATGACAGGCATGAGCCACTGTACCTGGACTCTCTTTGTAATTTTATCAGATTTGCTTTAAATGCTTTGTGGTTATATTGTCTAAAACATGGACATTCATACTTAAGTTTTCTTTTGTCTGGAATTAATATTGAAGCATCAACTGATGCTTCTTTTCTATGCAATGGAATAAACTAGTGATACGCATGACATGGATGAATCTTAAAAAAACATTAAGCAGAGTGAAAGAAGCCAGACACAAAGACTACATGCAGTCTAAAAGCATTTTTCAAAAGACCCTGGAAAAAACAAATCTAATTTATAGTGACAGAAAACAGATCAGTGGTTACTTGGGGCCAAGGGTGGGGTGGGTAAATTGACTGGGGAAGGCATAAAGGAAACCTTTCATGGTGACGGAAATTTTCTGTATCTTGATTGTGGTGGTAGCTACCAGAGTGTGATCTAACGGTGCTCTTAAAATGGATATACATTGTTGTATATAAAGTGTGTTTCAGTAAAGTTAAATAACAAAGTTCTGATCTTATGGTTTCTGTCTTTTTTACAACATGGGTTTATTTTGTCTTAATTATTAATAACAGTTTCATACTTCAAAGATTTCAGACAGATAGTTATTTTCCCTGAAGATTTAAAATACATTATTCTATTACTTGCCTATTGTTGCTGAGAAGTCAGTCAGTTTCATTGCGAATGTGTCTTATTTTCTTCTCCCAGTAGTTTTGTTTACTTCTTGTTTTGGATGTTGTGCATTTTCAGTAAAATGTGTCTAGTTGTGTATTTGTGTTTTTATTCTGCTTAGATTTCGCTGTGACTTATAAATAAATATAATGACTTATTTCTTTAATTGTGGAAAGCTCTCAGCCACTGTCTCTTTGGATATTGGTTATCCATCCTGTCCATTCCTTCCTTTCAGAATTCCTATTAGGTGTATGGATTATACTCTTATTTTGCCCTTCTAGTATCTTAATATCCTTTGGATATTTTATGTTTTTAATATCTTTTTTATTTGTGCTGCACTTGTGCTAAAATAATTTCCTTAGGTCTATTTTACATTTCATTAATTCTTTGTCACCTGTGTTGCGGGATTTCTGTTTCAATGAGTATACTTTCTGTCACTACAATTTCAATTTCATACTTTTCAAACATGCCTATGTGTTTTTTAATATTTTCTAGTTCTTGCCTTACAACTTCTGTTTTTACCTTTAGCTCTGCACATGTTAATCATTTTTATTTTTAAATCTCTTTTATCTTCTTTCATTATTCCAAGTCACGGTGTGCCAGTTCTGCTCTCTGCTGTATCTGTGTCCGGTTTCCCTATGTGGTTTGTAATTTTTTATCAGAAGCACATTTTCAGCAAAGCTTGTTTGCCATGGGACGCCCAGGAGGCCTGGACTATGGAAATGGTTTGGGGTTTACCTCTGCCAGGTCCCTGGAGTTTTCACTGGTCCTAGATTAATTTTTACGTTAAACCTCTGTGGTAAATCGTGCTTCTGGAGAAGACTACCGCAATAGACTCTCTCCCAATAGCTCTTTTGTAATGTGATCTTGCCCCTCCTCCACCAAGAGGTGGAGTTTATGATCCCTTCCCCTGATTCTGGGCTGCTTGTGACTGGCTTTGATTGATAGGATGTGGCAGAAATGACATTGCATCACTTCCAACACTGGCCTTATGAGGCTCCCAACTTTTGCTTTCATTACTTGGAGAGCTCCGTCTTGAAGGCCAGTCATCACGTTAGAAGCATAACTAATTGGAGACCACTATGTGGTGGAGAAGCCCATGCTATCTACAAATAGAGGGAAATGGCACATCAAGGAATTAAACATGAAAGTCAAGAGTTCCTGGCCTTTTCTATCTTACTCAGCCTATTGGAGCCACCAGCGGAATGAGCACAGACCCCAGAGGAGCAGAAGACCCATCCGGTGAAGCCTGACCTGAATTCCTGACTAACAAGTGGTGAGCAAATAGTTCAAATCCACCACATAGCCTTGGGATTCTGATTCTTTCAGTCGACCCTTTTCCACTCATAGTGTAGGCAGTTGGGAACATGTCTTCTCATTTCATTAGTCTAGTAGGTGAAGCTTTTCAAGTGTTTCATTGGGTCCCTTTCCAGTCAAATTAGTTTACTGAAATGACTAGAAATGCATCTTCACTCATTGTGGCCCAGGTTAAGTCTTCCCTCCTCTGGCAAAACTGTCTCTCATCATCATAGGGAACCATAACATATATAACTATTCCCTCTCTCATGACACCCCTCTGCTCACAAACATGTAATGGTTTCCAATTTTCTGTAAAATAAAACTTTTGTTTTTCAATTCCAGATATTTTTATCTAATGAATGCCCCACATTTTCTATTTACCTATTTATTTATTTTTAAGAGATAGGATCTCACCATGTTGCCCATCTGGTCTTGAACTCCTGGCTTCCAGCAATTCTCCCCTCTTGGCCTCCTAAAGTGCTGGGATTACAGGTGTAAGCCAAGGCATCCAGCAAAGTCCCCACTCTTCTTATCTCACTGGTCTACATATCTGTTTCTCTGTCAACCTAAACCATCTCTTCTTCCTATATATACCCCACTCCATATCCTGTCACCATAATTTGCTCATGTTATTCTCTTTGCATGAGATATCCACCCGTCTGGTGTTCACATTTAGATCTAACCGATCTTTCAAGCTCCACTAAATTGAAGTGATCCTCCTCTATAAAACTTTTTTGATAATGCAAGCTGTAATGTCTCCCTCCCTTGAAGCTTAATAATATGTTTTACCTGTCAATGTCTTATAATTTATACCTTCTCAGATTTTTAAAGCATGGTGATTTAGAATGGAAGTTGACAAATTACAGTACACTGACCAAATCCAGCCCACTATCTGTTTAGGGGAAAAAAGTTTTATTGGAACACAGTTATACTTATTCATTAAGATATTGCCTATGGTTACTTTTGTACTACAATGGCAGAGTTGATTCTTTGCAATGGAGACCAGAAAAGTTAAAATATTTACTGTCTGGCCTTTTATAGAAAAAAGGTTGCTGATCCCTGATTTAGAGAATGGAAATTGAATTTTGCATTACCCCTTCATATATAAATATATATATATTTAATTTTACTTTAAGTTCTGGGGTACATGTGCAGGACCTGCAGTTTTGTTACAGAGGTATACATGTGCCACGGTGGTTTGCTGCACCTATCAAACCATCAACTAGGTTTTAAGCCCCCCATGCATGTATTTGTCCTGATGCTCTCCCTCCCCTTACCCCTCACCCCTGACAGGCTCTGGTGTGTGATCCTCCCCTCTCTGTGTCCATGTGTTCTCATTGTTCAACACCCACTTATGAGTGAGAACATGCGGTGCTTGGTTTTCTGTTTCTGTGACAGATTGCTGAGAATGATGGCTTCCAGATTTATCCATGTCCCTGCAAAGGACATAAACTTACTCTTTTTGATGGCTGCATAGTATTCCATGGTGTAATTTTGCCACCTTTTGTTTATCCATTCTATCATTGATGGGCATTTGGGTTGGTTCCAAGTCTTTGCTGTTGTAAATAATGTTGCAGTAAATATATGTGTGCATGTGTCTTTATAGTAGAATGATTTATGGCCCTTTGCATATATACCCAGTAATGTTACCCTTAATATTTACCACCTCACAGCTTGCCATGAAGGCCAAGTGACAGAACATCAATGGACTCTTTTGGAATCTGTAAAGTATAAATGTAGAGTGTTACTATTGTTATTACTTTTGCCTTAACTCAAAGTATGTTATGGTTTGCCTCTAAGTAAACAGTTTTTATAAGAAAATGGAAAGAAATTAGAAACAGGGTGGATATCACCTTATTCCTGCAAGAATAGCTATAATTAAAAAATTAACAGATGTTAGCAGGGACGTGGTGAAAAGGGAATGTTTTTACACTGCTGTGGGAATGTAAACGAGTATAACCACTGTGGAAAACAGTGTGGAGATTCCTTAAAGAACTGCAATAGAACTACCATTTAATACAGCAATCCCACTAAAAAAGATACTTGCACATGCATGTTTATAGCAGCATAATTTGCAATTGCAAAAATAATCATCACACACACACACACGCACACACACCATAGAATACTACTCAGCTATAAAAAATAACAAAATAATGTCATTCATGGCAACTTGGAATGGAATTGGAGACCATTATTCTAGTTGAAGTAACTGAGGATGGAAAACCAAACATCATATGTTCTCACTAGCAAGTGGGAGCTAAGCCAGGAGGGTGCAAAGGCATAAGAATGATACAATGGACTTTGGGGTCTTGGGAGAAAGGGTGGGAGGGAGTAAGGATAAAAGACTACACATTGAGCACAGTGTATACTGCTCGGGTGATGAGTGCACCAAAATCTCAGAAATCACCACTAAGGAACTTAATCATGTAACCAAACACCACCTGTTCCCCCAAAAACCTATGGAAATAAGAAAAAGAAACAGGGTGGTGTAATGTTGGATGTTATTGCATTCTTTCTATCACAGTGTCTAGATATGTGTACACAAGCAATGTGATCTAGATAGGCACTTCAGTAAGCAGATACCTATATTAAACTTAGGCAAACAGAGAAAAATTTTCCTTTGTAAACTCTGATGTGGAACAGCATGGCTACAGAGTAGATACAGATTAGTGTGTACCAGCACGTCTCTGGTACACATCTTTTCTGTGCAAAATGTCCACCTGAAGATGAGATTTCAAAAGTGAAAATGCTAATATTGTCCTTTCTATCATGAAATAATCTCTCAGCTTTTGTATTTTTGTAAAGGCAGATTTTTGAACATGGAATGTCAAAGATGATTTCTCAGTGTGGATAAAATAAATGAGAGGCCATTGTTAAAAACAAAAAAATGAGGCCAACTGCACACTGACAGCTCAGAGATGGTGGTTAAGAAAGCCTTGTTTCTAACCAAATCCCACAGCCAGTGGTAGTTTAAAAGAAGTAGTGTATGTCCCATCAGGAAATTTTGCTTCTACATCTCTTCTGGGATGTTATTAAATTTTCTTCTAGGAGAAAGACCAGTAAGCCACAAATTGTTTTCTCTACATTTGTGCAGTGAAAACAGCGGGTAGGAGGGGAGTGTTTAAGGAGTCTGGCATTCCATGGGGCATCAGGGGATCTTTAATTATAGAGAAGCTGTCAGGGAAGATGGACAATGCTCCCTTTGTTAGGGCAACATAGTGTCATTCAAAATGATATTTGTTTTTAAACTTGGGGTATTTGCACACAACCACAATGAGATACACAGTTTAGATGATGCCAATTTGGATAGGAGATGTTTACTTTCAAAAATAAAACAAATAGTGATACAGACTTTCGAAAACTAAGAGTTGCAATGAGAGAGCTGTAAAAAGTTCACTCTAACTTTGAAATTTGCTGATAAATGGGTTGTATCAGCTTGAGGGGAACTATAACACACATGGATACTTTGAATCTGAAAATGGGATGAAAACTGTTCTCTTCTGACATTAGAAGTAAATTTTACAACACTGAATCCTTTATTGCTTTCTTAGGTATCTTCAATTCTAAGTAAATTCATACAACAATAAAATGATATAAATTCTGAAAACTTTTCAATTTATAGGACTTCCATTGACTTGGGCAAGAGTAAGAGGAGAGGTCAGTGTCTGCATATTTTAGTGATGATATTTACATCATCCAAGAATTTTTATTTTCCAGAATAATTTGCCTATTATGGCTAATAAATTGTACACTGATACCTTAATGAAGCATTTCCTTTAAGAGAAGTGACCTAGGGTGGAGCCTGCTGTTGACATTTGACCCAGGTCACTGTGTATGTAAAATGCCCTGTGTTGTGCTTATTTTATTATGTTGTTTTATTATATGCAATGATTACCCAGTAAGCAAGCTACATCTTCCAAAAGTATCAATAAAATAGGGGCACAAAAGAAAAACAACTAGGGATGGCCAAGAAATTGATATATAGACATCAAAGTAATTTTCATGAAAGAGAAAAACAAGACTCTGTTGGACTTCATTACAGCTGCTACAGTCAGGCACCACATACTGATGTTGTGGTCAATAATGGACCACATATGCAACAGTGACCCCATAAGATTATAATGGAGTTGCACTGTATAGGTGAATCATTTTTCTTTTATACTATATTTTTGCTGTACCTTTTCTATGTTTAGATACACAAATACTTACAATTGTGTTACAACTGCTTACGGTATTCAGTAGAGTAACATTCTGTAGAGGTTTGTGGCTAGGAGAAATAAGCTGTATCATAAGCCTAGATATGTGGTGGGCTATATCATCTATGTTTGTGCAAGTACACTTTATGATGTTTGAACACTCATGAAATCACCTAATGATGAATTTCTTAAAACATAGCCCTGTCAGTAATGACTATATGAATTTTAGCAAGGTTTCTGTGCTAAATTATACATTGGGGGAGGAAACACCATAATATTTTCAATGCTTAGGCCATTAAAAGTCATCAGGCCTGTTTATAGGTCACATCATAATTATGCTGGGTCATAGTAGGCTTTTTAGAGAAAATCAAGGAAAGAAAAGACATGGCCCCATAGGTTCCACAAGGAGTCTACACAGGCATCAGAAATATACCCAGAAAACAATTAGAGACCTAATCAGTGTATAATTTAGTTATAGTTGTGTGTGTTTGATGTTTTATTTTGTTTGACTATGTTGTTAACTCTCATGTTGACAGAGTACTTCATCAAATTGTTAAATACCCATTTTTTTGAAATATGGGTAATTTGTAGTTACTGATTACACACTATGAGACATGACCCACCACACTGCAGGCAGATGATCAGAGAGTATCTCTCCATAGTTGGATTTTGCCCAGCTCTAGCCCAATAGACTAATGACTGTGGAATTGAGCTACATGGAACTCAACTCTTCAAATAATTGGACTTTTTCCTTTTGTACTTTTTTTTTTCCTGATTAAAAAAGAAGCAATGCCATGACAATAACTCAGATAAATTGTTTTTTAAGCGAGTTCCTGGTTGTAGTTCTGGAGCAGTATATGTTAAGCCCAATTTCCTGGCCACTTCCATCTACCATTCTGCTTAGCAAAACTATTATTGCTAAGGATGATGCTGGAAAACATCAGCTTTAAAGAAGTGTTAATGTTGTTTGCAATACTGAAATAAAGTAGGCAAACAGATTCAGAAACATTTTTTAACCATAAGAATTGAGGCAGACATTTTCTATGTAACTAGTTCATTTTACTGAAGCCACAGTTTTTTTTATTCAGCTCTACTTCTACCATTGAGGTAGTTAAGTTTCATTGTGTCTGGCCTGACATCTTTCTTAGGATATCCAAGGATGGCAGCATTTCTAAATAGGCCTACCAAATACATTCATCCACAAAGCCATATATGTGCCCCCAAAAAATGTTTCCCCTTTGGAAAATCTCATTGAGTTGAAATAACCCTGAGGCCAAATTTCTGGTCTAAGGAAAAATTATAAAGTGTGTGAAGAGAACCAACATTTGGTGACGACCGACTATTTGTCTATTGCTTTATCTATATTCGTTTACTTCTGTAAACCAAAAAAATATCTGAGACATGTTTCAATCAATTTAGAAGTTTATTTTGCCAAGATTAAGGACATGCCAGTGACACAGCCTCAGGAGGTCTTGATGGCATGTGCCTCGGGTGGCTGGGCCACAGCTTGGTTTCATACATTTTAGGGAGACATAAGAACTCAATCAGTACATGTAAGAGGTAAACTGATTCAGTCCGGAAAATCGGGACAACTTGAAAGCGGGTGGCAGATTTCCAGGTCATAGATTGATTCAAAGATTTTCCAAATGACAACTGGTTAAGACAGTTCATCTAAAGATCTGGAATCCATGGAAAGGAGTGTCTGGATTGAGATAAGGGGTTGTGGAGACCCAGGTTCTTATTATACAGATGAAGCTTCCAGGTAGCAGGCTTCAGAGAGAAGGGATTGTAAATGTTTCTTATCACACTTAAAAAGGTGCCAGACTCTTAATTAATTCTCTCCTGGGTAGAGGAAAAGACCTGGAAAAGGAAAGGAATTCTCTACAGAATGTAGATTTTTTTCCATAAGATACAGCTTTGTGGGGCATTTCAAAATATGTCAAAGAGGCCAGGTGTGATGGCTCACACCTGTAGTCCTAGCACTTTGGAAGGCCAAAGCAGGCAGATCATCTGAGGTCAGGAGTTCTAGACTGAGCAACTTGGTAAAACCCTGTCTTTACTAAAAATACAAAATTTAGCTGGGTGTGGTGGTGCATGCCTGTAGTCCCAGCTACTCATGAGGCTGAGGCAGAAGAATCACTTGGACTGGGAGGTGGGGGTTGCAGTGAGCCAAGATGGAGCCACTGCATCCCAGCCTGGGTGACAGAGTGATACTCTGTCTCAAGAACAAAGAAACAAACAAAATATGTTGAAAAAATATATTTTAGGGTAAAATACTTGGATTTCTTTCAAGGCCTGCTATCTGTCATGTGATCCTGTATTAGAGTCAGGCCAGAATTTACTGTCTTATTGCTACAGAGTGTCTTAAGATCTCTGTTTTAGTGTTAATGCTGGTCAGCTATGCCTGAATCCCAAAGGGAGGGGGGTATAAGAGGCAGGTGCAACTCCCTCTTTCCATCATGGCCTGCGCTGGTTTTTCAGGTTAGTTTGAGAAAACCTTTGGCTAAGAGGAGAGGTGCATTCAATTGGTTGGAAGGGTTAGGCTTTGGCTTACACTTCTCAAAAAACTTCTAGGGATATTTGCATTCTTACAATCTTCATTTTTTTGGATGAGAATGCTGCAGCCATATTTTTGCCAAAAATATTTAACCTGAGTCAAATCATGAAGAAATAATCAGGCAAATCAAATTTGAGGAACATTCTGCAAAACAGCTTTTCAAACCAACTGTTAAAAATGACTCTTCAACACTGTCAATGTCTTGAAAGACAAAATAGAACTATTTTAGATTAAAGGAGATGAAAGACAAATGATAAATCAAAAGGAGTAGATGACCCCTGCTGCCTTCCCGACTGAAATCAACAATAGGAAACATTGTTGGTACAAAAGGGAACATTAAAATATGGTCTTAAATGTGATAACGATGTGTGGTTATGTAGAGAATATTCTTGATATTATAAGAGACATGCTAAAGTCTTTAAGGGCGAAGTGTCTTAATGTCTGCAACTTACTGTCAAATGTTGCAGGGATGTGTGTGTGTGTGTGTGTGTGTGCAGATGTGGAAAGAGAGAGAAAGACAGACAGAGAGAGAGAGAGAGAGAGAGAGAGAGAGAGAGGAAAAGCAAATGTGGCAAAATGTTAACAACTGTTGAATCAGCCAGGCACAGTGGTTTGAGTCTGTAGTCCCACATTCTCAGGAGGCTGAGGCTGGAGAATTTCTTGAGCTCAAGAGTTCGAGGCTACAGTGAACTGTAATTGTGCCACTAAACTTCAGCCTGGGCAACAAGAGAGAGACTGTCTCTTAAAAACACAAAAAAACAGGCTGGGCTCAGTGGCTCATAATCCCAGCACTTTGGGAGGCCGAGGCAGGTGGATCATGAGGTCAAGAGATCAAGACCATCCTGGTCAACAAGGTGGAACCCCATCTCTACTAAAAACACAAAAATTAGCTGGTCATGGTGGTGTGCGCCTGTAGTCCCAGCTACTTGGGAGGCTGAGGCAGGAGAATTGCTTGAACCCAGGAGGTGGAGGTTGCGATGAGCTGAGATTGCTCCATTACACTCCAGCCTGGGTAACAAGAGCGAGACTCTGTCTCGAAAACAACAACAACAACAACAAAAAACAAAGTAAAGCAAACTGATGAATCTCTGTAAAGCGTATATAGGGTGTTCTTTGTATTAATACATTTTTCTTTAGGCTTGAAATTTCTCCAAATAAAACACTAGGGAAATCCGAAAGGATGCTGAGTTGCAGAGAGGTAAAATAATGACAGCAAAATGAGATTTAAACCAAGGTATTTCTGCTTCAGCTTTGGTCCCAACTCCCTGCACACAAGTTACCTCTCCTCTGGCTGGGAAAATGAGAGGTCACTCTTGAAAAATTGGTTCACAATACAAAGAAGTATATCCCAACTCACAAATGAGTCAGAATTACAGTAAAGACCGTGGGAGTTTGGAAGATGAATGGATGATGCCATCAATTCCTAAGGCCAGGAACTGTATCACTTTCTTCAGGGTTCTATGTACAGGTTCTTACACACAGTAGGCACTCAAATAAATTTATTGAATAAGTATTTCCTGTTAGTATTGGCATCCTATGGATTGTGGCTTTTGAATTAGACACTTAAAGGTGAGTTGAATTTTGATTACTGAAAAGAAGGGAAGACTATCCAGATAAATAAGTGGCATGTGAAACAAAATGCAGGGCAGGGAAGAAAAGTGGGGAGTGAGGGGTGGGGAAAAGCTGGATAAACTTTGATAAAATCATTTAATAGCTTATCCTGAGGTTTCGTCACATGCATAGACTTGATGATGGTTTTAGAGAGATATTATTTTGTGTTCACGTTTTTCTTCTTTTTCAACATATTGCTCTTACCGCTTCCCTTGCCCCACACCGATTTTGGAATCGGAGAAGGAACATTGCTTATTGTGACAGTCAGCTTGGGTTTTAGCCTTAAAACGCCCCAAAGAAAAATGTCTGCGCACATTCGCTCTGAGGTGCAGAGTTAGAAGAAAGCTTTTCCGGACTCCAAGAGCATTTCATTTGACAGCATGTGCTTGCTTTCACTCAAGGTGAACTTTTAGCTAAATCTTATTATTTTGCTATTCCTGTTCCATAAAGAAGCCATTTGAGGTGCCCAAAGAACCAGCTGTTAGCATGCCAGTTGTTAGCATGGCTGGTGCGTGAGGTCTCTAGCACTGTGTACCCTGCAGAAATGTCATTTCAGATGCATCATTTTGCTAAGTAAGTGTCCCTGCTCAACGCCAACACTAGTTTGTCTTCTGAATAGACATGCTTCCTAGAAATTACCCTTTAGCTGACCCCACGGCATAACACACATTACATGTTTAGTGATGTCACTCTCATTCCCTGGTTGCAGACAAGAGACACCTGAGAAGAGGAGAAAATTTACCATTGAGGGGAATAGAAAGTGTTTTTGTTATGTCTCTCATCAGAGGCTGAATACCAGACACATAAATTTCAGGGCTCAGCACCCTGAACATGCAGACATACATGGAATCTGCAGTGAGAGTGTGAAGAATCCAAGTAGAATGCAGGACCAGAAAGGGATGGGAAGATCAGAGTTATGTGTAATAAAAGAGCTTTAATACGTTGCAAGGAAAATTTCGGATTTTACGTAGAGGAGGATTTTGAAAAGATTAGAACTATTGGTGCTGGGGATGCTTATAGAATGTTGTAAAGATTTCCTCCTGAAGTACCATGTATTCCTTTCTGAGCTGGATTGAGTTTGTATTATCTCACCTGAAACAGAGTTAATTCAGAAGTCTACTCAAGACACTATTAACATTTATGCAGTAGCCAGATTTGTGTGACTGTTTCACATCATTAAAGAATAGAGCAATTTTGGCAAAAAAAGATGCTGCTATATTATCTTTCTTTGGTCTTTCCTAGGCTTAACAAGTGGAATTTTGGGCTTGCTGAAGAGGAAGAAAGAGGAGGAAGAGGAGAAGGAAAGTGTAATTAACAAGAAAAAACTAACACCTTGAATATTTAACAGAATGTCAGCTAGTCGCCTGTAATTCAGTCACTGTTCTCTACATAGCTAAACTTTTAGTAATAATGTAGGTATTCCCTGGCCAAGAGAAACATAGAATGTGTGTGTGTGTATAACAGAAGCAAATGAAAAGAAAACAAAATAAAGGACATTCTGGAGTCAGGGAGTAAATATTTCATTTTAGAGCACAGCATGTTTTAATGGAATATGGTGTCTAGGGCTGGAGAAGAAATCACAAATATACTTATTTATAATTACTTATTATTTTTACAAACTCTGCTTACTAAAAATTATTTGAAACAGCTCACATTTATCCAACAAACACTGCTGATGCCTCATATACGCTTTGCCTCAATTTGTTGAGAGTAGGTACGGAGCATGAGTCAGAATTCGTAAAGGCAAGTATAAGGAATGTGATCGCTAGTAGGAGGCGATTCTCTTTCAACTTCCTAAGTTTCTGTATGTCTTGTGATAGGTAGAGAATACCTTGGTTGTGGATTATCCTTTTGAGGATATTTGCATTATCGACTAGCCTTGGGAGAGAAAAAGGGAGATACAGAAAGACAGAGAGGATAGTTCTCTCAAGAGCAATGGACCAGCATGCTTACTGCCTATTATAAAGTATTTGAGTTCCCTAAGCTCAGGATTTTTTTCTCTTAAACAAAACCCACAGTGGCTTGGTTTTCTTCAAGTTACCATGTGGAAACTGGGGCTTGGGGAATGGATGCAATTGCTGTAATAAACAGTCCCATAACTGTCAGTAATAAATAGTTCTACATCTCTGGCCCATGGATTTCGTAGCTTTATCCAACACCCATAAAAAGGTGTAAGTAATTTCTTGGTTTGCGTGTGGGGTAAATTTTCAGACCTTTCACAAATTTTGCGATTTGCTTTGAGTATTTGCACTTTATTCAGACAAATACTTGAGCCAAACTAGTATTTCCTCAAGGTAAAATATCTTCTGTCATATTTAATTTTCCTGTTAAATTTAAACTCAAAAACCTCCTCAGGGGAAAATGAGAAAAGGATATTGTAAAAGAAAGAAGAGTCAAAATGGAGTGATAAGAATACCAAAAATAAGCTGGGTGCAGTGGCTCATGCCTGTAATTCCAGCACTTGAGGTGGCCAAGGTGGGGGGAGGGTCACTTGAGGCCAGGAGTTCAAGACCAGCCTGGGCAACATAGCAAGACCCCATCTCTATTAAAAAAAAAAGTAAAAAACAGACCAAAAAAAGTACCAAAAATAATGAAAAACAAAAAATAGTTCAAAGAAAAGCATAGGGTATAGGCCTTAAAGTTTTAAAAATGTGTTTAGACAAATGTTGTTTAAAAGTGTTTTAGAGTCATCCAATGGTTATGCTAATAGACATACTTTTGTGGAAAATATGGAAAAGGTTTAGTTTATTGAGAGAGTGGTGGTTGACTATTCTTGACCAATTTTTAAATGGCAAAGTTTTATTATAATTTAAGAATGGAGACAGACAGCTGTGAATAACTCAATTGAAATGTAAGCTGATGAAAGAAGAAGGATATAGACATTTTTCTAGTGTTCGAATTATGCAGTGCTTGCCCTGAATACTGCTGAACTCACCACTTGGAAGGGAAGACTAATCTTATTTGGAACATGCCATTGTTTAGTATGTAATTTCTCACTATTTCTTAATTTAAAGGTGTCAGTGAAAACTGCAAACTCAGTTATTTAAATATCTGACGCTTTTGAAAATCCAGCTACCTTTATCCATTAGACAAAATAGATTTATTTATGATTCTATTAATTACATTTTAATAAAAGTGAAGATGAAATAAAGTGGAACAAACTGAAAGATAAATCATGGTGTTAGTGAATCATTTTTAACTACACTATATATTGAATAAACACAATGCACCATGGCTGATTCAAAAGTACTACATATAGTGATTTTTAAAAAAATCGTGGTATAAGTAAGGTAGCTTCCACTTAGAAGAAAAGTGTCACTGATTTCTCAATCAGCTGAGAACACCCACAAGGATAATCAGAGGCAACTCTTGTTGTTAAACATGAACTCAAAATACATCTAAATCAAGTAATCAGTCTGTTGATTAAAAAGTTAAAAGAAAATGCCTTATAGAAAAATATAAGATGATCTAAAAATATCATATGTAATGAAGGAAGTAATAACACATTCGAAATTCCTTACCCAAACCTTTCAGCAGCATTCAGCATGACAGGACAATATGATTTTCAATTTCATAAATTTATGGTTGCTAGCATCTTTCATCTGGAATTCTTAGTTATCTCTTCAGAGTTGAATGAATTGAATCAGATTAATCAGCATTTACTGAGTGTGTAAGGTACTGTGTTTCCTTGCTGGGGGCACAGAAAGGTGACGGCTGCAAAGAAAAAGAATAAACCAGCAAGCTTACAACCTATTAGGGATGTAAGGCTAAAAAGAATAATAATAAAGATGTAGATAATAGGTCAAGTGAAGACTGGAAAAAAATTCCACCAGATAGGATGTGATTCATTGCCAAAAGAATTTTGCAAACAGTAATTGCTGGAATTCAAAAAGGAGAAACTACAGTAGACTAGGGTGGTCTGAAAAGGCATCAAGAGCCAAATGGGATTTGATCTGGGATTGAAGGATGGTGAAATCTAGCTGCATGAAGAATGCAAAGATCAAGACAGAGGTTGGCAAACTGCTGTGTGGGGGCCAAATCCCAATTGTTTTTCTATAGCTGCAGAACCAAAAATGGATTGTACATTTTTAAATTGTTAAAAAAACAAAGAATATTTCATAGCACTGAGAAGTCTATGAAATATAAATTTTAATGTTCATAAAAAGTTTTATTGGGACACAGCCACTGCCCAGTTTATGGCTGCTTTCTTACTACAATGGCAGTGTTGAGTAGTTGTGACAGAGACCAAATGGCTTGCAAAGCCTAATATTTACTATGTGCCTCTTTGCTGACAAAGTTTGCCAACTGTTGATGTAAGAGAATAATGGGAAATGATCGTGGAAAGAATGTTGGCAGGCCTATAAATACACCAGGAGGCCACTGAAAGCTTTGACTAGAGGAGGAAGCCCATTCACAAATTGTTTCTGCTTCCTATACACATCACCTGGGCTTGCAAATGTTTGTTAAACCAACAAATGAACCAGCATTTTCAGATTCCTAAGTCACTTGTTGCTTTATATCTGTTGCTCTTGAAAAGGATGAATGGCTTTTCCACAGGGGACCTGCCCCTTTACTCTCAGTTTGTCTGTTCCACCTTCACACAGGTATTCAGGGAGCAGCTTAATACATATTGACATTGTTAGTCACAATAACAATACCTTGTGTTTCAGGGGTTCTGTAAGAATGTACTTAGGTGACTTCTTTTTGGACCTTTTTTCTTTGCATTGCATGATGTTGTTCTACTTTTCCTACAACAGGTCAGACATAGATACAAACAAGAGGGTTTGGGGAGATTCCTGGAAGGGGATGGTATTGATAAGAAGAATTAGCAAAAAGCATAGCTGTCTTCAGAGAGTTTGTGAGGGCCAGACTATTAGAAAAAAAAATGGTTTAGGAGAAATAAACTGCAGCAGAACCCCAACTGTTAGCCCATCTCCCAGGGGTGTTCCCATCAGTCCTGCTTGGATGCATTCCAAACAGCAACTTTCCACTCTAATCTTTTAGGGCAGCATGTAACCAGGCCTCACTAAGAGGAGAAATCCAAGAAGAGTGTAGACAAACACACATGAGACGAACCTCCAATAAAAGGAAACACACTCTGGGAAACATGGTTAAGAAATATCAGACTTGATTAATAATGGAGCCTTCAACAGCCTTGGAGAGATCCAATACAAACTAAATTCAAGTTACATGCCAGTGCTTCTAGTCATATTTATTTATTTATTTGAGATGAAGTCTAGCTTTTTCATCCAGGCTGGAGTGCAATGGCACAGTCGTAACTCAGTGAAACCTCTACCTCCCAGGTTCAAGCAATTTTCCTCCCTCAGCATCCCAAGTAGCTGAGACTACAGACACACACCACCACACCCAGCTAATTTTTGTATTTTTAGTAGAGATGGGGCTTCAGCATGTTAGCCAAGCTGATCTCGAACTCCTGACCTCAGGTGATCTCCCTGCCTGGCCTCCTAAAGTGCTGGGATTACAGACATGAGCCACCATGCCCAGCCCATATTTACTTTCAGTTGGTTATGTTTACAAAGAAAATCTTAAAGGGAAACTCTTTAAGAAAAACAAATCTGGTTAAAAATTACATTCTTCTAGGTAATGAAAAGTAGGTAAAAAGCATTAATTTTGGATTAAAAACATTAAAAACAGCTTTTTAAAAATTGATTCATTTGAAAAAAAATTTGGGAAAAGATAGAGACTTCCAATAGGAAATGTAGAGCTGAGACGAAGTTAAAAGAGAATGTTACTGAATGGGAAAATATATAATATTTTAAAAATGCAATTTTAAATCATGCATAACTTGTCTTGGAGTTCATCCCAGATAAGTATCAGTATAGTCAGGGATAATGACGAATTCTGGATTAGACTTGTGTAAAGGTTTGAAATAGCAGTAAGCTCCAGTCTTGGGAATGCAAATTGGATGACATTTTGGAATGTCCTACTATTGAAAAGGAGGGAAACGAATGTCAGCATATTCTCATAAACAGCCACCTAAAAGGGCATAGCCACAGATGCACTTAAACACAGCTACAGATAGACATGTGGACATGGATCACATAGATACCTGCTTTAGGATATGAAAAATTTCCTAGGTCACAATTATAAAAGTGCAGTCGTTTCTAGAAAAAGAAGGTCATTTCCTATCCTGGCTCAGAATGTTAAAAAAATGACTTTCCCATAACATTTTCTAATGAATCTTCCAGTCACAGTCTCCTATGGAAGCATAATTTATGTAGTGGATGACAAAAGAGTTTTATGATATCTGAAATTCATTTAAAATCTTTAGATTGGAAAAATTGAGATCCAATTAAAATCTTAATAAATGACTCTGTTGCATATAAATATATTAAATTAGTATGTGTGCAGGATGAAATTGGAAAAGTTATGAGAGTCAGCATGTTAATTCCATTTCTATCAGGGAACTAACTGTATGTTATAACTCTGAGAATTACTGGGTAATGGGTCTGTTTATAGTGAAGCAAAACCGAATTTAAATAGCAAATTTGCATCCATGACTTGTCATAACTCATGAAGTCTCCATCTTGAGGCATGGTGAAATCTCCCTAGTGAAAGGCCTCTGAGGAGAGGGAAGGTGGACCAGTTGGAGCCAACAAGAGCCCTAAAGAGGCTGATGTAGTGAAAGGGCCAGGCCCCAAGGATCTCACCATGAAGGGAAGCAAAGGCTGGCAGGCTGCTCTGTGGCACCCCCAGGTAGTAGGTGAGATATGGCAGTGAGAATTCTTGATTGAAAGTTATTGTAAGGCACAGAAGGTGGTAACAGCTTGGTTAGTGAGAGACAGATGAGAAGTGCCAAATCTTTGTTAGGGCATGACCCGGGCTGAGGGTTGAAAAATGCAGGATAAGTGTATCTATCCGGTATACTCAGATTGATAGAGTATACCTATCCTCTGTATACTCACATATTCACCCTAGGTTTTGTATCCTAGTATGTATCCCACAGAGGATTCACACTTACTCTGTGTTTTCCTGTGGCTACACTAAGACAGCAGATGAAATCTGAAGAGTGGCAAATGACAGAGATTGGGCTTCTAACATACGGGACAGCTGAATGTTGCAGTTAAGATGGCAAACCTACAAGGCCCTAGATTCAAACCCCTGTTCCCTTAGTTATTAGCTGGGGGTGATAACATCCATGTGGATATTGGGAAGATCAAATGAGGTATTTTATTTTAATTGCAGGATGCTTCCATTTTGTTACTATTATTTTTGAAAATAGAAGTGCTTCGCCTTAAGTCACATAATGTCAGAGCTGGAAAATGTGCTACACCTAGGGACTAGACTAAGCAGTTCCTGTAGTTTGGCCAGTTTTAAAACAGAAGAATCCTGGCCACACACTCCTACCCTCCTAGCCCCGGCAAATCTGGCTATACCTTCATTTCTTGGTAGGTTCAAAACCTGTTTTTATTTCCATCCAAAAGCTTTTTTTCCCCCAGATATCAAGAGTGATCCATTTGAAACAGGGATTCTTAATATTCTTTTGTAAATATTCCAGTCCAGATTTATTCTAGAATTTGAGTTTTTTTTTAATATTGTTATAAATATGCCTCTATTTCTAGCTGTATTTAGACATAACTTTTGGATGCTAATAAAAAATAACACCTTGGGAAGTATGGACATGGGTGGGTAGAAATTTAATTGAGAAAGCCATACCCAAGTAAACTGAGGGAGTTAATAAAGGCCCATCATGCTATACCCAAGTCATAACATGTTAAATGTTAGCTCCGTTGGTGTTCAACCTCCTGAGATACCCAAGGTCATCCTATTCATCTTCTCCCACAAATCTATCTTTAGTGGAAGATTTTCTTCTTTACATAAACAGCTATCATTTAAAATATGCTCATAGTGCTAGAAATTGAGGTGAGTGTATTTGCAAACATTATTATCTCATCTAATTCTTGCGAGGATAGATCCTATTAGATAAGGTAAGGATAAAAGAGAGGTTAAGAAACTTGATCCAGGACATCCACAGGGAAGTACTTAGCAGGGCTGTTCACTAGGACCTGATGTTTCACTTTCCAGATGTACAGACTTCCTGGAGGGAACGATGTGCTCTGCCCACCCTTGCCCCTTTGCCCTGCTGTTCTGCCAGGCCAAGACCCTCCTTCCTGGGAGCTTTGCTTCCACTTTGGCTAAGGCCCTTTCTGTGGTATATTATCATGTATCTCTTATTCTTATCTTTCTAACTTAACTGTGAGCCCTCGTTGATGGTAGATATCCTGAAAGTCATTCTACTATCCCTGAAAGGTCCTCAATAAAGATTTTTCCTCCACTTAGTGGAAAGCGAATAAAGTTTATTTCTCCATTTAGTAGTAGCTCAGTAAAAAATTTGTGGAATTAACCAAGGGATGAGTGAGTGAATGAAATACTGAATTTTCCTGGCCCATGAAGGACCATGAGCTAAAGCAGCAGTTTAAAGTACATAGTCCTGAACAAGGAGTTTGTACTGAAAACATACTGGATCTGTAAGGCAGAGGAGGAAGGAGAGGGAGGGAGTCGAAGAGCAGGCTGTGGTACCCCAGGGAGACTGAAGACAGGAGCTTCCCATGGGAGAGGCAGTTCATCCACAGGCTCAGCTTCTGCAACCTCCTTCTTGTGGTTACTCCTGCACTCTAAGAATTTCGCGTGCTCTCATCCAGAAAATACCAAATTCCTTGAAAGCCTGGTGTCTGCCTTGTGGTTTGTGAGCCAATCTCATGACACCACCAGCCCACAGTGCTTTTCCTGATTCCATAGAGGCAAACTAGACAGGGCTTCTAGGAAGTAAAACTTCTTCTGGATAAATATTTGGGGGCTGCTTTAAAATTTTTCTGACAGACCAAGTGGTAAAAAGTTGTGTATATTCAGGGAATGCTCTGTCTCTCCTGCAATGTGTTTTCTCTCCTTGTGGAAATAACTGCTTCTCTTAGCCAGCTCTTGCTTGGAGCAGTGAAGAGCAGAGTCCTGCCATGTACACACACACACTTTATAAACATATAACGTACAATCAACATGTGCATATATAATGCAATATACACCTGTGTACATCCTACCTATGTCTATATACTGTATCTTACGCATATACAATTTCATAAACAAGCTGGTAGCAGGAAAAGGCAATCATCTCTATATTATACACATGCATAAACACAAAATATATGACAGGCAGTGTAAGGTTCATGACGTCTTTCATTCATTGACATTTGTGCTCCCTTATTAGTGGCAAATTATTAACTTTAGATGAGCCCATCACAGAGTGAAGGCTCAATCCTTGAACAGCCCAGGGAGAACTTCTTGCTACTTTTGAAGAACCCTTTGAAGTCTGTAGAAGGGCGATGCCAAATCCACTGAACTTTGACGAAAGTGTGAAACTTCTGTAAAAAGGAGTTCTCTGATGTGTGAGAGGAGACGGAACCAAGGAGAAGAAAAGAAGGTTCTTTGCTCCCCCGCGGGACCCAGGTCCCTGACTGCTGCGGAGCGCACTCGGTGCACGTCGAGCCGCCAAAGGGTCACAGAAGAAAACAAGAGAAAGAAGCAGTAGACACCGAGAGGCCGCCGGCGCCGGCGCCCGGGACGGCACGTGACCTGGGGGCGGGGCCTCGCGGGCCGCGGGCCAGTGGATGGGGACGGGGGCGGGGCCGCGGCTCGGGGGGCGGGGTCTGTGGCGGCGCAGCTTGTGCCGCGGTCCCCTTATTTGGATCTGCGGGAATGTGGGCTGGAGCGGTCCTGCCGCGGTACCAGCCTCCAGCCTGCCGCCGGGACTGCCCCTGACCCAGGCGCGCCCGCTGCTCGGTGGCAGGAGGGCCGGCGGAGCGCCATGGCCTGCATCCTGAAGGTAACGACTCGGATCTGTAGCTCGGACGCGTGGTTGGCCAGCCCCTTGCTGCTCAGAGGCACGGAGTCAGCCACGGTCCCACCGCATCCTCGTCTCAGTTGTCTTTTCCTGGCATTGATTTTCTTTTTGTTCCTCTGGCAAATGCATATGGAGGGAGATTCTGAAACATGCAGCTGGCACAGCTTCTTTTCCCACCATTCCTGCCTGCTCGCGCCTGCATTGAAGGAGCTGCAGACTGTTGGCTCCAGGGGAGAGCAGGGCTGTGTGCCGAATAATGGGGATGGTAGGGAGAGGAGGGGTGTTCCCGCGGGTCCCGCGGCTCTGTGGAGCCTGAGGCCTTCCAGGGGCCACGGGGAGGGGTGGAGTGGCTAGGTGTGAGTTGCTGGTGGTGAGAGGCATAGCGCTTTGAATGGAGGGAAGAGTGAGTGGAGGTGGGCTCTACTGTGCATTTGCCTCATGTGAAGACAGAAACTTCTGAGTTTACAGGTAGTCCCTTAGGAATGAGTTTTCTATGAGATCGGCTAGCTCTGTGTGCCGTTAGCTCTACTTTGGAAAAGTTCACACGAGGATGTATGTGTTAGTGGAGAACCTCTCACCCTTCTTATGCTCATAAATTTGAATAGACAAAATGATTTTATACTTTGTCAAAGTGCGCTCAGCTGCTCCTTCTTTGTTGAGTTTTCTTTTTCCAACACCGGATTCTTAGACTCAGCTGAGCATCTTTATGGGTTCACAGACTTGTGGCCTCAGGTCGGGGGACTTGTTGTGAGGGCCTCGCTTAAAAAGAACTTTCCAACCCCACTGTTAGAGGCTCTCCTTCCCGCACTACGTTTCTACAAGAGCATAACCTGGCCACGTGAATCAAAAACATGCACAGTGTGAAAGTTTCCTGGGCCTTGACTGGAAAATGCAAAGGCCTATTATCTGTCCAAGCATGGGGGAACTGTGTGACGAAGGAAAATACCAGAAAACAATTCGTTGTTGTTGTGTTATTGTGAAGTAGCATTTATTTCTCTGTAAGATGTTGTGAAGTCATCTACTGCTATTCTGGTTACTTGAATCATCTTCTAATGTGCCTGGTGTTAATGATGCAAATAAGAAATGATCCTAGTAGAATTTGTTTCTCCTTCTTTGAGTTAAGGAGATCAGACATTTCCTGTGACCTTTCTGAACTTCCTTCTTTTGTTTCAGAAAAATTTCCAGGACATAATAAATGGCAGCAAAATCACAAGGAAATAATACATCAGTATTACAATATGCAGTATTTAACCTGGAGACTCTTAGTACAAGGACTGACATATGAATATGAGTCATCTCTACTATTCATTGTGTTATTTGCTGAAAGGGACATTGAGGAGCATGGTATTTATTGTTGGCCATCTTTTTCCCTTTTGGTTTCTCCCTTGCCTTGTCCTGTACATGTGCTAAACATCTTTAATGCACATCCCAAACTGCACATGAACCTGGTGGAGTTTTTCTCCTCTAGCACTTCACACTGCTCTCAGACTTTGGGACATGTTTGTCCACCTTATCTTCCCTCCACTGAAACTAATCTGGGCTTTAGACTTAGATGTGTCTGGAGCTGGCTCTGCCCACAGCTCCCTCTGTGATGCTGGAGAAGTTACTTAAATGTCTCTGGGCCTTAGTTGCTTCAGTAAGATCAAAGTAGTGACACCTGCTTCACAAGGTTGCTGTGGGAATGAAATAAGATAGGGTGGGAAGAGTACTTTGTGGCACAGGCGTTAATATGTGCCTTTTTTCCCTCTAACCTGTAATAATAACTGCAGTTTGGTTGACCCTTACTATATCCTCAGTCTGTTTCATATCATGATTTTTTATAAAATACAAAATGTTTTTTGTTCTTTAATCTTTATATAAAACCCTGAAAGATAAGTATTATTGTTTTAAACCCCATTTTACAGATGAGAAAGCTGAGGCTTCCTAGTTGAAGAGATTTGCCCAAGGCCACACAGGGTTAATGATAGAGTGATCCTGGATTTAGACCCAGATATGTCAACCTTCCTTATACTTTGCTGCTGTTCCCAATACTTTTGTAAGTGATTAAGATGTCCTAATGCCATTCAGTTCCTACCACCTTTGAGCACCTTTGAGCACCTTTGAGCAATCACTTTCTCTAGTTACGGTCTAGACGGTCTGGGCTAGGTCTTTTTTCTGTGTTGTCTTTGAAAAGCTACAACTGGAGCAATGCAGAATACAGGTTTCAGTCCAGAGACTTGAGTTCAGTGTAAGTTTGGCCTCTTGCATATGATTTTAGACAGCTGCTGCAACTTGGAGCCTTAGTTTTCCCATGTTGAAGTTTTCACAGAATTATAACCTTGTGCTATAGGGTTGTTATGAAGATAAAACTATGGCCCTGCCTTTTTTTTAAAACGAAACATTTTCTTCCATATGCTGGTCCTGGACTTGGTGTTGGCATCTGTAGATAAGGAGAGATTTTCCTCTGCCTTCTTAGTTTCTGTGCCTGGTTCTGATAACTAAACTGACAAAAAGCATACTAACAGAGGAAAAGCATTCACATTTTATTTGATGTTAATGTTTTTAAATGTACACAGAGGGCTTCATATATAAGCAATAAAGACTCAAAGAAGGGGAGAGGCCTGCGAGTTTATAAAACATTTTAATAAAGAAGGCTAAATTGTGGAGATGTGACAAGACAAAGGAAAAAGGGGGTTTGGCCTGGGGCAGTAAATTGTGGGAAAGTGACTGGGAAATGTATGGGGAAAACTAATGGAAAATAGGTGAGTGTTTTTAGTAGCGATTCATCTTGGTGTTGACTCTCCGTCTTTGGTCATAAGAATGTTCTCCTCTTCCTGGCATAAGGAAGACACATTTCTCATGGGAACTTTTATGCCTTGCTTTTAGGTAGAAATGGGGAGGTCAGAAAGCCCTTCCTGTGTCTGCTTTTTCTCAATTGCCTTTAGCTCAAAGTAATCAGTATGCCAAAGTGATATATTTTGGGGTGGCCTGTTCTGATTCCTTTTTCATCACAAGACGCATAAACCATTGACCCCATTCTCAAACGGCTTGTGGTTTAGTAAGGGTGATAGAAAAGTAAATGAGTGCTTAGGTTACAATGTGAAAAATAAAACTACATAAGTCCCTGGCAGGCACAATCGAAGCATGGAACGAGACAGCAATTACCCCATCATTGGGTAATTCAGACAGTTCCCACTGATGATGCTGGAGCTGTGTTTTGAAGACTAAATAGGATTTACTATGATGGAGCTTGTGTTTTAGGAAGATAACTTTTGAGGCAGTGCCAACTGTGTTCTGTGGGCTAAGACTTTAATTTTTTCAACAGACTTTTGCAGATTTTACTCCATTTTTTGCAAATGAGAAAACTGAGATAGATACTGATTAAAGTATCATTATTGCCTACACAATAGTGACCCTCACTAAGAAGAGTCACCCCAATTTTGGTCTTTTAGGGGATATGGAACTATCCCCCCAAGGTGCTGTGCATGCTGAGGGCCCATTCTGCCCATGCATAGGGCTTGTTCTCATAACAGAATGTTGATCACCTCATAATCATTCAGTTTTGGAATACAGACTTCACATTGCCTGGACTTTAAAGCCAGAAAGATGTGAATTTTAATTATGGCTCCACTCCTTTTTAATTGTAGGACCATAGCAAGTTTCTTGATTTTACTACCTCAGTTTCCAAAATGGGAGTGATCACACATTCTTCAATGGGTTATTCTAAAGGTGAAATGAGATAATCTGAATATTGGTTATATTGCAGGGGGAAAAAAGAAACTCCGAATCTTAGCAGGTTCATTTCTTGCCATGCTCCTGGTTAGAAGGCTCTCCTGTGTAGCTCTATCATTGAATAAAGAATCAACTAAAGGACCAGTCTCTTTATTATTAATGTTTTGAGACAGTCACACTCTGTTACCCAGGCTGGAGTGCAGTGGCGTGATGTTGGCTACCTACAACCTGTGCCTCCTGGATTCAAGCGATTCTCATGCCTCGGTCTCCCAAGTAGCTGGACTACAGGTGTAGTCCCCACCCATGCTTGGCTAATTTTTTGTATTTTTAGTAGAGATGGGGTTTTGCCATGTTGGCCAGACTGGTCTTAAACTGCGGGCCTCAAGTGATCTGCCTGCCTTGGCCTCCCAAAGTGCTCTGGATTACAGGCATGAGCCATGGTGCCCAGCCTAGGACCAGTTTCTTTTCATCAAGGAGCTCTGATGTCTTCTTGGGTCCCAGAGCCCTTGTCAGATTCTCTGCCTTTAGCTGCTCCAGCAGACAGAGTACAGGGAAGATCTCGTGGGGGTGTTTAAAAAGTCTCTCAAATTTGATAGATAAGAAAATTATTTGCTTTAATTTTTATTTATTAGTGATTATTTTAAATTTGTATTAGTTATTTTTTTCTTTTCTAAATTATAGATACTTTGACATTTTACATAATAAAGCCTATTCATATTTTATTTTATAATTTCTACCTTTGGTCAGCAGGTACATTTTCAGCACAGTGTCTTGTACACTTTTATTTTTAAAAAAATATAGGTGAATTGTATAAACTTTTGTATCAGAAGTGGACATCGAGTGGACATGAGGGCACAAGATCCTTGTGAATCAGTTCTGCTTTGAAGAAGATTGTGGTTTTGGCAGGTTGATGAAGCTTATGAACATGAAGCAGTTAGCTGATAGAACACATGCGTGACTAAGCCACAGTTACCTTCTCTCCAGTGACCTGTCCCCATATATCAATCTTGATTGATAGGAAATTAGATGAATGATGATATCAAATTATGAACTTGGTGTCTTCTCGTTTCCTCTTTCTCCCCCTGCCCCAGATCTAATCCGTTTCTACAGTGAATCAATTCTGTCTCAGGAAAAACTCAACTTTGCCCCTTACTCTCCAACCTTACTCCCTCTGCCTTGTTCAACTCCTACTTTAGAGCCACGTCCGTGGTCAAGCCGTCCCCTGCCTCAGCGGCTTCCTCTGTGCTCCTGTGGTCTTAGTTCTTGACTCT